AGTCACATCACTCCGTGTCTCCAACCGTCGAGTACGACCATCCCGAGGTCACCATTCAGAGAGCCTAACGGGACCTATGTGACACACAACCCTCGTTAGGGTTTTCATACCCTCATGCTAGATCATGGCTTCACCACCCTGGGATTTATTCCACCCACTACCTGACTCGATAAACATCGCTCGCCGTAGTAACCGACTTGGTGACACGCGTAGGAACATGCCACAAACAACGTAATCTATGGAGGGGAACCACTTACTCCAGTGGGCGACTGCGGTTGCCTGAAACTTTTCGCCTGATCTCAGCATTGCTCGTCCAGCTGTCCCATCAGATTCGTGCAACGCTGCATAGACAGCGGTGTTCAAACACCGACAGTCTATTTCTTTTATCCTGTTCCCGTAATGGCCACGTTTCTGCACCGTATAGCAGAAATGAGCAATCTGCGGCGGCATACACTTGGCCCTTCACAGACAACCGGATGTCACGGCAGCGCCACAGATGTCTCAAGTTGGAAAATGCCATAGAGCCTTCTGGATGCGAGCTGACACTTCATCCGTGATACGTCCGCCAGGTGAGATGTAGCTATCCAGATAACAAAACTTATCCACCTGCTCTATTACTTCCCCAGTTAGAGTGAGGCTGGGTGCTGGGCCAATCCAGTCTTGTAGTAACATTTTACACTTTAAACGTGCAAAACGCATACCGAACATTGTTACGCTGGCAGTGATAAAGCTTTTACCAATCTGCAATGTAGGAATATTAACTTTACAATACCTTGGCATTCCGAGACAAACCTCAAGTTGCATGAGAGTAATGGAGGATTTGATTCGATTTCATAGGGAGGATTCGACGTGCATACAGCAAGTGAAGAGTGAACTGAAAAGCTAAGCTATTTCAACCTGATTGGGTCTCATTAGGAGTGCACGAATCCATCGATCTAACTGGGGATCGAACCCGGGACCTCAGAGGCAGAACGCAAGCATGCCGCGCACTCGACCACTGGTTCAGAATTATGTATTAAACTGGTTCTTACTGAGCTGTAACACATGGATTCGTTCTTTGCACATTGTTCTATCTATGTTGTGCTGTTGTCGCTGTGTGAGCCTTCTGGTATAATAAGCAATGACTTGGTTAACTTCAAAGGACAAGACGCTCCGGTCTCAAAGCATTTTTGTTCAATACAGTATCCCTGCAGCCGTATTCCAAAAAGCCTTAGCTTTTTATGTTTTACTCCATAATTAAATTAAATCTGGCGAAACTGCTTGACAAGTACTTTCATCGAAATTTTGTATGATGAACAGATGCAGATTATAATTCTGCCTGTTCAACGCTAATGTCTACCTGAATCCTACAATGAGCTGTGTTCACAGATAACCAACGCACTATAAAAAGAGAATGGAAACTGACTTTTTAAAATTCTGATTGTCTCATCCTCCGTACGACAAGTCATGTGAATGTGTTATTTTTAACACCGTTCACTCTTCGATTGAACCGGATTATTCAATCCAGCTCGCTTATTATAAACGGTGATCTACTGTCGGTGTGGTTGCCTGTCTGGTGACACATTTTATTCCATCTCCTACTGAGCAAAGTAGCTTTTTCATTATAAAAGCAGTTTTAATTCAATAAGTAAGTATATGTATTGTCCAAGCCCTACCGGAATTTATAGTTTCGCTTCATCTGTTTAATTGAATGCGTGATTATATCACTGCCCGATCGATATCAGTTCCACATGTCGACGCTAACCTGACTGTCGTCTATGTTCGAATTCGCATATTACAAATTCCTTGCAGGTCACATCTGTTTGAAAAGATATTAGGTATTTTCCTTCTGCCTATCTGTAATGAAACTATTCTGAACATATAAGTATTATTTAATTCACAAAGCTAAGTTATTATATTTCAAACCTATGACATTTGAGGCTTCCTTGGATGTAATTTCTTAACTGTTATCCACTGTTCTCTTTCAGCCTAGTTTGTTTGTGGATTTCGATTTGGCTAGACGTGCTTCGTTTGAAGCACTGGTTGGCATCAATGTCAGCCAAAATGTTTCAGCTGACGATTATCTGTGTGACTCCATTCCGTATAACGCTTTATATCCCACACAAAATGGTGATCCATATCCACATCTGACATCTGAGATAAATTCACGCACTCTTACATAGTTCAATCTGGAGTTTTTACAGTTCCGTGGTGTTCTCTCTCCCTCTCTTTTAACCTGTGGTCCGGAACAAAATCTCACGAGGTTGTTCCAGAAAGTACACTTTCCAGACCACCATTTCTTCAACTTCCTGACCGCTTTGCACCGTATTGTATAATTGTACAACCTTTTCACGTGCAGCTATTCAAAACTAGTGTGTCCACTTTCGTCAACTGGAAAAAATGTCCACATTGAGAGGATAAGGGGAATGACATGTGTTGCTTATTGGCTACAAGATGAGTGGTGGTGGCTCAGTCGGAACGTTATCGAATTATCAACCCGGAGGACGTGTGCTCGAATCCCACCACCAATTCGACTAGCACACTTATCACGATCAAACAGTGTGATTCAAAGCGCAAAGGAGAGATAATGAAATTATGGTAACATCACGTGTGACTCACCTCGATAACGTGTGCCACATCGGGAATGCGACTGCTCAGGGTCCCATGATCATGATCACACTCTTCCTCCTCAGCCACATAGATGAGCGGATCCGCATTGAGAGACGGTGTGATACGTTGATGTGTTGTCAGTGGATACAGATGACTAAGAATAGCACCTGTACTGTAACGCTGTGGGGCGTAGGAGGTTAGCAGGGGATGATGTGTATAACCGGACCGCAGCATTTGTCGTGAGGTTGGAGCTAGATTGTGCAGAGAGCTATGCGAGATTGCCTGTGCAATTAGTGCTTTGCCGGAACAGGGTGCATCGGTAGAACACGAACCAGGGGCTGGTGAGGATGAGGAACCACAAGTGCTCGATGCATCAACCACACAAGCTGATGCGGAACTCACAGGCAAATACAATAAACTGTCTAACTGTTGTTGTTGTTGCGGACTCAGAGGCAGTCCAATGCGACTGTTACGTTGTGACATGGCTGCAGAGTGAACGGGAGAAGGGACACCGCGTTGCACAAAAGCGGCCACGCTTCCCACCGGAGTCGAACCAATATGAGAGAGGGAGTCTGACGGACTTGATGCATGACAAGGACCGCAACAATCCGCCGGACGAGATTTGGCATTCGATGTCAGCTTGCTCGCATGTTCGTCAGATTCGTCTGCGCGTTGACCACTGTCCGTGAAAGAGCGGAATCCGTTGGTGGATGACTGTTTGATGTGCTTCGGGAAAATAATGGGCAATGTGGCTGCGAACACACTAAGCAAGCCACCGGAACACGTCAGAACATAAGCCCAACCAATGTGGCATCGACCTGAGTGAAGGAAGGAAAGGGGGTCAGAATAGATGGCAGAATCAGTGGGTCATTTAGGATACCAATGATAACAGGCGGTATTTGTTTTATCATAATCATGGAATATTTGAGCCTGAGGAATAAATCAAAGGAAAATACAAAGTATCTTTGAAGAATAATAATACGGCGACACTGTTATTGGAGCACCATAAGTTCCGAAATATCCAGCTACTTGAATAAGTTGAAAAATTGGCCACTGATGCCTTTAACCATTGTTGATAGCAAGTATTTCAAGTGAAACTCGTGTCTAAAACATTAAGGCGATTGAGTGATAGTTTTCGGCGTTTTACTAACAACAAAACAAAGACCAGTATGTGCGTATATCCATGTCATGATGATCCCTTCCTTGCTCGTGTTGTCATGTATCACATCAAGCAATAAAAGTGAAACGACTGTTTGATTGAGTCGGGTGTTTTATTTGTTGAAGATCACCAGATCGGTACTGATTTGTGGATCAGTTTGTAATCAATCCTACCATGGACTAATCTTTCGACACTCGTCACAAAGCAGTAAGCGTTGGTCATCAGCGCGGGCGCTGAATGGCTGCACTCGGAAACATCGAATCGGGCCAGTTGGTGGGCGGGGAAGGGGTTAGGGATTTCACAGGTCAACGTCCGCAAGTGGAATCTATCTTCCTCTTTGATATGGTCTTCGATTTATTGGTAATATCGATCTAGACTGACGATCCTTCAAAATTCACCGTCACGCACAATCCTCGGTTCTTTCAGTCAACCATAAACTCGGAAGCATTAGACCTGAGTTTCACTCTTGTTACAGCTCATCACTGGTGCACATTTCGTCCGGTCGTTAAGGAACTCGTCCCACCATACCACAAATAAACATATGATAATATTAATGCTGCTTGCTCGATCTGTGTCAATTGATTTTCCTCTTTTTGAGTAATGGTAGTTTGATTGGTATGTTCATCATCTCCAGATAGGTTCTGATTTGTGGATCAGTTTGTAATCAATCCCACTATGGACTAATCTTTCGACACTCGAAAGCACGGTACAGCCGTTTCACTCATCATCAGTAGCAGCAGCCACAACGCCACAAATTCACCAAATCCAGGGAAATTCGAACTCGAGCACGGCGCGCTAATCCAATGAACTATCCGGGTCACCCTGTGTACATACACTTCCAGACCGCATGATCTAGAGCACTGTCTTTGAACGTAAAGCACCCCCAACGAATATTGATCCCCTGTCAGTAGTATCTTCCTTCAACTTAGAGAGAGTTTTGAAAATAATGCGTTCATTTGAAATAGCCAGTAGGGTTTTATTTTCCGCTGAAAGTACGCTTCTCATCAACAATCGATATGTTACTCATATGGTGTTATATTTGATATTTTCTGTGAATAAATTTAGCATCAGTTCCTTATTATACTCTCCGTCTTCAATTGTACAATGCAAAACAGTCACACTATTCTTGAGTCCACGTAACCAAATCGTTGGCACAGGAGTGCCATCGGTCTGTCAATACTTTTTCAGAGAGGTGTTCGGTCAAGCAAGCGTCTGTAAGCGCCAGGCTTACGAAGATTCTCCAATGACTATAGACATTGTTATAGCAACCGGTTATAATTTCTTTTTTATTCATTTTCTCGTTAAGTATAGCATTCAGTGGTGAAGTATTTCGTTCAATGCAACACCGAACATGTGTACCACCCAAGTTCTACCACAGATAGACAACGATAAAACTGCAGTGAGCATCGAAAAGAACACAACACAAAAATCGGGTCTGGAGGATTGATGGTTCGGGTAGACGGACACACATAATCCTATGTGATAACGGCCATAAAAACGAACAAGCCTGTCCGTACTGAGGGAATCGAGCGTGGCATGTTCGACAGAACGAGATGCTTTCCGGCCGAGGAGAAATCGACATGATTTCTGGTCTGTCAAAATGTGATTTCAATTGAGATTTGATTAATTAACTGGTCGAATAGATCACCAGATTGAGATATGTGGGGTTTGTGTGTGTTCGCCTAGAGGAAATCCGTTTGAGATTCTTTGAGGCCGGGATTTTTTGTTGCACGTGGAAAGGCAGGTAAAGCAACGGACACCAAGCAACGATGGGCAATGACGACAAACACTGCGCTCTCATTTCTCTCTTCTCTCGCTGGCGCAAAATGGGTTAGTTTTTCAATAGGGAAAGTGTGATTTTCTTTCAGTTCCCTCTTCCTGTCTGTTTGTGAGGAAATAAAAATGACGGGAAAATTTTGCAAAAGAACGGCAGATACGAGTGATCAGTCATACAAATATGTACAGATCGGTTGACCAGACAGAGAGAGAGAGAGAGAAAGACGAGAAAAACATCAAAAGTTGGGCAGTGCTAGATGAAGATGCTTGTACCAACGCGCGCGCGCGCACACACATGCTCAATTTAAAACTCCCGGCTTCCATCAACTACAAGAGTCGTTTGTTTCATACACGAGTTGTATGCGCTAATGGCTTCCAAAATCGATTAAATGAGAAGTTAAGCTGACAGCTTCACTGCGAACAGGAACTGAATTACCGAGTTATTGGTTATGCTGATCATAACCCATAGTTTGTGCTGTTTAAAAAGTGGTAAGCTCGAGAAACTATTGTGTGAGTGATGATGGCGAGAGGGAAAGAAGGGGGGGGGAATGGAATTCCGTTGACACTGGGATATTTTGTTCTGAAAAATGGTAGGCGGAAGGGACACTCACAACAGATCCCGGCAGAACATAGGCGATAATGAATCGAACAGCAGCGAAGCTGTTTGTTGTCAAAGCCAATCAAGTGGGAATGTCAGAAAATCGAAATTAGTAGACAGACCAGATGAAGATAGGTTACACGTCACCCATAAATCTCATTCTTAAAGGATAACACTGTCAAACGGGAAAATTGACCACCTATGGAACGCGAATAATTCGGATTATTAAGATCAGTTCCGAAGTTGACAACCGCTAATTGGACACCAAAGCAGTAGTGTGTAGAATCAGTACAAAAGAAACGAGGCGAGCAAGTCATTTTCATCAAAGGCGTAAGCATAAGCTGAGATTTGTGCAGGGGTATTTTGCAATAACCAAAGCTGAAGCTCCGCGTGGATAGGGGGGAGGGGGAGGATGACAAAACAGCTGACCCTTTTTTCCCTCGGGGTTTCCTCCGTCGAAGAGCATTCGAATAACTGGAAGTTGAATCGTCCAAGTTGACAGGCAGTACACGCCTTGCGGTTCGTGAGGGTACATTAGTATCACTATCACTGTCATGCTCCCTGTAAAGTTGGAGAAACGTGATATACCGCATGGGATCGCGTGCGACGAGACAACCGCGTGAGATTCCTTTATGGTGTTCGTGGTGGTGCTGTTGCTGCTGCTGATATGTAAGGGACAACTTTTGTGAACGAATTAACGCGGAGCTGGGATGTCTTATCGAGTCGCGTGAGCTGTACTGTTTTTCAAGCGAAAATGATAATCCTGATCCATTACGCCAAAATCCGTATTCCCAGGGCTAGAGAAAAATCACGAGATGGAAGCAGAGAAACAGATTTTTGATAAACACCACTCAATTGACCTACATTTACATGTGGGAACAAGTGGGCATTTGATTTCTGCGTCTTTTCGTTCCAGGATAAATATGAAACCACACTTGTTGGCTCATCGGCATGTGGAGAGCCTGGAAAACGGCTGTTTAGAAATCCACGACATTTGACCAGTCAACACCTTTACATTCTGAGTGGATAGGACGATGCGGTATATGTCCCCGTAGCTCTAGTAGTGGTCGGTGTTCTGCGATAGATAGACGGGCATGTACAACAAAAGACACTTCAGTTTCAGTTTGAAGAACCATTAACCACGCGTATTCGAGCGCCCGTTTTGGTTGCTGTCTTTTGGCTGCCCATTTGGATGAATAATAGGAGAAGAAAGTTGAAAGTGGAGTTGAAAAGAAAATGGAGAGGTTCAGTGGTCTAAGGTTGCAAAGAAATTGAGATGCACGAACGCCGCTGTTTACGACACCCAGCCATATCGCTCATTTAGATATCTGCGGAGAGACCGATATGTAATCTCGTTGGCTTTGAACCATAAACGCGTCTCTCTCTGCGTGGAACATATACTGAGTTAAGTATGGACCACGTATGGTGTAAAGACTCCTTAGACGATCGGCTAGCATCGAGAAGTGTATCTTGAGTTGACGATACACTGGCGTCCCTAGTATGGAACAACATCGTTTGAGATCGTGTGTGGGTCCATGAAGTAGCGTTGCAGCTAGAATTGATAGACGAAAATTCTTTTCCCTTTATCCACTTCATCAACATCATCCATATCATCATCAACATATGTCTTCTGTTGTTGATGATAGACGAACAAACCAGAGTCAAGAAATCCTATAGACAGGAGTACGAGGGCAGATTTGCTGTACCAATCAATCAACATCGTAGGCCGGGTCGGGTACTGTGACAACGGGGAAGTATTTCCTATGACAGGAATAGTGAACGGTTTTCATCGAGGGCACTGAACGAGTGACTGTGACTGCGTCGCCCATTCGAGGTGCTTTTTTCGACANTTCATTGTTCGCCACGCATTGAACTCACGACTGTTCAATACTCATCTTCCTGTTTCGTTCATCGTTGTGAAAATCATCTTACTGTTTCAAGAATGATGAGTTTTGCATGTTTGTTGCCAGATAGGATGAAACTTTTCCCTCCATATTTGGTTCTCGAAATTCGGCATATATTTCCACCAGGCTTGACGCGCTGATAATCTTTATCATCAAGAAAACATGTCACAATTTATCATGGTTCAGAAAAGTGCATTGCTAATTCGCACTGAGTATCTGAAAAGTTTGTTTGACTTCACAGATTGACTAGAGACCGGGTGGCAAATAGCGTGGTTTCCACCCATCAAGCAGCTGGGTAGTTCAGAATTCTGACTAGAGAAAACTTTGGATAAGCACCTACCTGGACTGAGTTCTCGGTCATTAGCTACAATAACATTTTGGCAGGCAATATTGATCAAAGAATAGTTTTCTGGTAAATCGCACTTAATTTCTCAAAGTGATCCTTCTTCTCGTAGATTGTGGAGCGATGCACGGAATCATACATATTATCTCATGTAGTGTTTTCGTTTCCACATTCGCGAGCTGACCACCACTACGGAGGATTTTACGGTTTAATATTTCAGTGATATTAGAGGGGATTCTTGGGTAGATGAACAGTTAGTTACAGCTTAGTATTCTTCAGTGCTTGAAATCGTCAAAACCCGGTATTCCATCGATGCCTCGGAGTCTCGTGAGGATATCCTATTCCCATGTGCCAATGGTGAACGCTTCTTGGAATGGGAACACCGGTGCTAGAATTGTGTATTGGTATAGGTAGATGTATCTGCTTTTCGTAATGTGGTCTTTCCGTTATGGACAAAACTTTAGGAGAATACGACAATTTTGTTCTATATCAAGATTAATACCTTGTTACATCTGGTTCAGAAAGAACACAAATCACTGAAATGACTGCAATTGTGTCCAAACGATTCACAGGATTGACGGATGAAATACAGATCAATAATAAACATCAGGCCGATCAATACTGGCGAGGTCGATAGCGAGACCGATCAGTTACGTGCCGTTCGATGCGAATGAGCTGCGGCATGATTTGAGCTCTCATCACAGACGTCTACGTATCTGGCTGGCTATCTGTCCTCACTTACCTCGTACATGCTTCAGATTTACACTACTTTCTGCACTGTTTCCGTGTATTTTTCCCCACCATACGTCTCAAGGACATCTTCATGAAGACAATTTCACGCCCCGGTGAAATCCCATACACTGATTCGGTGAAGTTTATCGTAACCGAATACTCGTCAGACTGCACTCGCCTACCCAATCCCGCAATAGGTCAATGTCTATCCAGTTTAGGAACACGGACAAAGCAAAAGCTAATACGGCTTGCTTACCAGCAGTCTGACACTCCTTATTTAGTGAGATCTGTCACACCTCAGGCTGCACTATAGACGTAAAGCAAACCAGTGTGATTAGTCGACCATGGTAGCTTTCCATTATCTGAACTGAAGTATCTTCATGGGATTAAAATCGGCCTTCTCGCTTCACAGTTCATTTCGTGGTCAACTGTCACACTGAGCCTAATGCTTTGGATACAACCACCCATCCATCCCCGAGTGGGGCATAAGGCAGCATGACTACATGACTTACATCCGTACACGTATGAAATCTAATAAATAATGGTACCGTGGTTATTAAAGGGTAACCGAAGTTGGTAAGCACTACGAAAACCGTTGCGCGGATCAGTTTGTTCTAATTGCTTCATGTGAGCCGTCAAGAAAATTGGACCATGTGACGAAGAGCAATTGATGCAGTTTAAAGCATCGGTTTCGAGCGTTCTTGGGGCAAGAAAGATGACATTGCGTTGGATCCTCTCGTTCTTGAATGTTCAAAAAATATCATGGAGTTAAAAAATTCCATCAAGTGAAAACCTCGTAAAGCACGTGATTGCGTGGGTGCGGGTATGTTGTTGTACGATTTCACTCAGTCGGTCTAGTAGTGACGAACAACCGGAGAGAGTTGATTGGTAGGGAGCATGAGCGCGTTGAACTGAACTCAGGGATTCCAGATTCACGCATTCATGTGGGAGATTCACTAGTCAAAATTCGGATAGGGGAAGCAAAGTTACCATATGTGATTCAGATCGCCAGAAATCACATACATTATGTGTTGGAAATACTGCGGAATAACTGTAACTCGGGATATTACTGTTAGTATGTCTTCCAAACTGAAAGTGTTGTTCGCAGACGTTTCGTGGCCAGGTTGATCAGTGCAACCTATTGTCATGACGGGTACGGAGTACAATCAAAGGCTTTTTGGAGATGAGCGGAATTAAACACACTACCTTCAAACCGCTGTTATCCGTAACGTTTTACCGGTGCCACCCTTCACGCGCACACCCCGAAAGTTCCTTAACTGAAAGGAGTCAAAATTTAGAAACAAGATACCGCTACCTGCTATTTAAAACTGTAATATAGTTCAACAGATAGCAAAACGCTTTCATTGAAGCATAATTTGATAAAATTTATAACACTTCAATCTTAACATTTTTTGAACATCAGGGATAAACACTAGCAAACCTCACCGATATTTTCAGTGAATTATCTCTTTTCAAGACCGCCACATTCCCAAATGTGTCACTGGTTTGAAAATCAATTAACTATCTTCTTTGACATTGACTGATTATATTTTGCCAGCATAGGCTGATTCGAGGGCCAACGAAGTGTACAACAGGAGAACTGAGTGGTTTGTTGATTAAAGACGAGAGCAACCTTCCGTCAGAGTTGTTATACATATGACTTTGTTTGACCGATCGATTTCACTTCAGCAGAGGGAGGATGAAGTATAAAACCCACCAAGCAGAGGGTGGGTTGATGAGATAGGAGATAAGAATATAATTCTATTAGCGCGTTAGTCCTATTCGTCCAGATGGGAAAACAAACACGATTGTAGATTAGTAACCAAAACTGTTCGGATTAATGGATTTGCAAACACGGAGGAAAACGGATACACACACAAAGGGTTGCTCGGTCCAACACGTTCTGAAGCGTGAATCGATCGGGAACATCAAAGTACAGGGGACGGAGAACAGAGGAGAGGTGAAAACGCGACTGCCGGGTACAAAATAACTGTTCGCATTGAAAAGATTTATTTATCAGAAAGAACCGTGTTCGTGTTTATGGTTGTTGCAGTCTGGAATTAAATATAACCGAAAATTTTTCGGTGAAATAGTTTCATGAATGAACCTTAGGATAGTCTGGTTCGCTAAAACCTGGGACCAACTGTGCTCGTGGCCGTCAGTATACGGCCAAGTTTATGGGGTTTGCAGAAGCCGGAATAACAGTAGCCCATCACCTTGAAGCATAAATAGTTCGGTTGTATGACAAATGTTCAGAATGGTCATTACTTTGCAGTCCCCTGTCTTGTAGCTCACGCACTCAAATTGACCGCGTTCAATCGGACAAAGTGACACAAACAAACAAAAATAAACCAGTTTGTGCGGGAATGGGAATTTGGTTGACCACTTACCCAAATGAAAACTGTTCGCATCTTCGCCACAGGCTTGTTTGACTTCGGCGTTTTCGGTCCACCCCACCGGGTAAAGAATGCATGCGGTTAGAGCCAGACAACCTGTGGGGCGGGCAGACATACAGACACAGACGAGGTCAGGGAAAAAACGTCAGATGAGATGAACGACAAGAAGACAGATAAGCGTTGGTTTCCCACCGATAGCTGGTAGAGCTAATGCGTGATGCATAAGCGGTTGAAACAAACGCTATTTGAAAGACTGCCAAGACATTAGAGACATGACAACAGTACAGAAAACAACAACTGACCTCGAACACGGAGGTCAAATCGTGTCTAGCCGGATAAAGATCCCAGAAGAGGTGGGCTCGCATCGGGTGGTTCGGAGCTGTCTACATACTTATATAGCTTACCATAAATGACAGCGACCGACAGTCAATCGTATGTCGGTGGCTGGAATAAACATTCAACGAAAATGAGTCAGTGTTCTCAATGTTCTGCTCCACCTCACGTTTGCGGGAGTCGGATTAGTGCCGGTAATGAATTCGCAAAGCGTTCGATTCAAAGGCTGTATGAGCAGTTTGGTTTCAGTGGGTAATAATAACGTGGGCGATAGAACGTCTGGTACTTTATCGGAATTAAATAGGAATGCCATCACCCTAGAAAGGGGAGCAATGTAGAAAACTTTACCAATCATTGCCAGACTGGTAATATGCATGCAAAGTGCAGAGGAAAAATATTAGATTGACTGAATGCAGATTTTCTAGGCAGATGGAATACAACCGACTCCGTCCACTACCAAAACTAGTATTTCATCCAAGTAAAACGCACGGAATGAATTGAGATTGTGTAATCACATCACAACTGTCGATTTGATTCGCTGATTTTTTATTGATTCTAGCTAGTGGGCCACCAGACCTTTTGTAAATCAACTCTGATGTTAAGTGACATGAAAGTTTCAGTTACTCTTTGTGGTCATTCAGATCATTTGCCAACTTATATCCGTCGCTTTCCGAAACGATGTAGTGACGTGACGTAATCGACCAATAACAACCAAAACGAGAAGACCAGTCAGGAGATCTTCCGTCCTCGAGGAGGGGGTTAACTAGGACCGTATCCGATATAATGAGAAGGCATTCATACGCAGTGCTGAATATGGTTCAGTTGGTGAGGTGTTAGTTTAATAAGCGAACGGGACTGAAAACCTGATCAGGAACAGTATTCACACGGTTCGAAACTTGAACGCAGTCTCGCACGCATTGTTCGTCTTTTGGAACATCGAAAATATCGATAGCTTTCCGGTTAGTCACACAGAATACAATGAATGATATTGTTTTGATCGGACAGTGGTATTGCAACAACTTTACCAATTCAGGGTAGGGAAAACCATACCTGGGGGACTGTGTTCCGAGAAGTTTATGTTTATCTGTTTGTTGCTGCTTGAAAAATTGAACTATGATCACTTCGGATTTCGTGGAACTGAGATAACAAATGACTCGAGTAAGCAATAATTGGAATAGAAAAGTGTATGAAGGTTGCTTTGTTTTCGAATCAGATGCGTGAGGTGTTTCAACCTGAGCAAAAAAATATTAAAAAATTGTATTCTCAGTCTTTTTTCTTGTTATACATATTTTGCGTGATTAATAGCCGACGGGGTGAGCCGAATAAGCATGAGGACCTGGTGTTCAGTGAAAGAAACCGGTAACCTAAGCCCTGAGACTTAGAGTGGCGAACAATATAAAGCCCCACTAGGTTCGCCGAGGAATTGAAACGGATGACAGCAAAGCTGACACCATAAAAGTTGGATGACCGTGACGGGCATTGAAACCTGGTCAGTAGGGTCCGATTCACGACGGGGACAGTTGGTCCGCCTAGTCGGAGCAACTTATCAGATGGTAAGTCAAATGTTAAGGCAGAGGACTAGAGCGAAAAGAAGCGGAAGGAGAATTCGGCCCATAAAACTATTTTCAGTTCAGGAGCCGGCACCAGGGTGATCACGGACGCCCTGGCCCCAGGTGGAGGCTCGCCCTGGCACTCTGGCGGGTTGAAGACTGCGACGATCCCTAATCGAGCNGGGAAGGTCATCGGATCATCCCTTTCTTTGGGGCGGTGGTGGCCCGATGGTAACGTCACCAATTATCACCCCGGAGGACGAGTGTTCGAATCCCACCACCACCGCCTGACTTTCCTGATTTGTGTATCGTATGGCAGCCCTTTGATTAACCACTTCCCCTTCCTGAAAAATTGTATCGTTGTATATTCAATAAAAGGAAGTCAAATGCAAAAAAGGGGTAGTACAACCATTGCCCATGCACCATCGTGTGTCGGTTTGGTTGCTACCATTCCGCTGCCCATTTGAATGAACATTAGGGGAAAGACAGGAAAGGTTGAAAGTAGAAACGAAGAGAAAATTAAAATGTTCAGGGGACTAAGATTGTAAGAAAATTGAGATGCACGAACGCCACTGATTACGACACCCAGTCACATCACTCCGTGTCTCCAACCGTCGAGTACGACCATCCCGAGGTCACCATTCAGAGAGCCTAACGGGACCTATGTGACACACAACCCTCGTTAGGGTTTTCATACCCTCATGCTAGATCATGGCTTCACCACCCTGGGATTTATTCCACCCACTACCTGACTCGATAAACATCGCTCGCCGTAGTAACCGACTTGGTGACACGCGTAGGAACATGCCACAAACAACGTAATCTATGGAGGGGAACCACTTACTCCAGTGGGCGACTGCGGTTGCCTGAAACTTTTCGCCTGATCTCAGCATTGCTCGTCCAGCTGTCCCATCAGATTCGTGCAACGCTGCATAGACAGCGGTGTTCAAACACCGACAGTCTATTTCTTTTATCCTGTTCCCGTAATGGCCACGTTTCTGCACCGTATAGCAGAAATGAGCAATCTGCGGCGGCATACACTTGGCCCTTCACAGACAACCGGATGTCACGGCAGCGCCACAGATGTCTCAAGTTGGAAAATGCCATAGAGCCTTCTGGATGCGAGCTGACACTTCATCCGTGATACGTCCGCCAGGTGAGATGTAGCTACCCAGATAACAAAACTTATCCACCTGCTCTATTACTTCCCCAGTTAGAGTGAGGCTGGGTGCTGGGCCAATCCAGTCTTGTAGTAACATTTTACACTTTAGACGTGCAAAACGCATGCCGAACATTGCTACACTAGCACTCAAACTATCCAGAAAAGCTTGTAACTTACCTGGATCTTCACTTAGTAGCACAATTTCGTCTGCATACTCTCGATCAAACAGCCTGCCACCTGGGAGTAAATTCATGCCAATATCTTCGCACGAGGATAGGGCTATTTCCATAATTATATCTATAACAATGGGGAGAGAGAACAACCTTATCTAACGCCACTTTCCGTGGTGAACTCGGGTGAAAAAGTGCCGTAAGCTCGGTCTCGGCTAGTATTATAGAAGGGTTGTAATATTGCAATAAACTTTTTCGGCACACCCTTCAAGGAAAGACAGCGCCAGAGTTTAGAGCGGTCGACTGATTCGAAAACCGCTTTCAGGTCGAGGAAGATGGAAATGGTGGGTCTACGAAAAGTGTCTGTGTTCTACGATTTGACGAAGAGTAAAGATGTGGTCGATACGACCTCGACCAGGTCTAAAACGAGCCTGGTTCTCACGTGTGCACTCTTCACGGACGGTAGACAATCGACTGAGTATGATCCCGCCGAGAAGTTTAGAGGCAATGTTGATTAAAGTAATTCCTCTGCGGTTTTCACCAGAGGACCTTTCGCCCTTCTTGTAAATCGGTATGATTACCGATTCACACCATTCAGTTGGAACCTGTTCCTTTTCCCATACTGAACCCAGGAGTTTTGTTAACTCCAAAACCAAGGCTAGTCCTTCATGCTTACAATCGAATGTGGAGAGCCGGTCGGGGCCGCAAACGTTATGCCTTTTGAGAAAGCTTATCTACCGGGAAACCTCCATTTCAGATGAAGGACTGGGATGGATTGACAAAATTTGCGCAGTCGCGGTGGAGGGTGATAATTCTGATGTCGATGGGGGCCAGTTGAACTGAGCCTTGAAATGTTCAGTCCATTATCGAGACGGCGGTGCTGATCGTGATTCACTGTGCCATCGGATTCCTT